ATTCCGCCTCATCTGCGTCGTCAGACGTACGTCTAGAACAATACTAAGCAAAACTAACCAGTTTAGGCAGCTCAATACAGTGTTTCAGAAGAAAGATGAAACAACTTCTCCATCAGCGCCAACTACATCTCCACCGCCAAAGGAATCGCCTGCCGAGCCACCACCAGGAGTTGAGCCAACTCCCACAGGTTCTGCTACAAGTGCCAGAGGACCTGCTCCAGACAAGAAAGGTACTGCAGAAGAAGCTCCTAAAAGCGGCGCCCAAGCTGTAGATGCTAAAGGACCTGCCCCAGATACGAAAGGTACTGCAGAAGCCGCTCCCAAAAGCGGAACGCAAGCTGTAGATGCTAAAGTACCTGCTCCAGAAACGAAAGGTACTGCAGAGGCCGTTCCTCAAAGCGGTGCACCGCCAGTGAGAGCTGATACGCCAGAGAAAGACGTGATCACGGCATTATCAATAAAAGATAAAACTGGTGGAAAAGGGGAGCCAGTACCGGTAAAGAAAGAAGAACCGGCTCCTGCCAAGCCTGAACCAGAGCCGAAAAAGAAAAAAGAAGCTCTTCCCAAGAAAGAGGAGCCGGCTCCAGAGAAGAAAAAAGAACCGTCCAAAGAAAAAGCGGAAGCACCCCAAAAAGAGAAGGAGGAGGCTCCTCCTAAAAAAGCAGAACCAGAAAAAAAGAAAACCTCCAAAGAAAAAGTGGAAGCACCGAAAAAAGAGAAGAAAGAAGAACCTTCTGCAGAAGCTAAAAAATCTGAAAACAAAAAATCAGCAGAGCCAGGAACTGGTACTGATAAGAAAAGTGCTGCTAGTGAGGAGAAAAAAGGTTCCAAGGAAAAGGTACAGGCTGCGAGGAAGTCGTCGAGTTCCGAGTTAAAGAAAGCTTCACCGAAGAAAGCCGTAGCGCCAAAAGCAGAAAAGAAGCCTAAGAAGTCAAAAACCAATGAAAAGGTAGGTAAAATAATGTAATGTAATGGGAGAGCATATCATTATGGCAGCGCTTACCTTAATGCGATCTTGCCCATACAAGTTAAACTCACCACCTGTACCAAGTAAGGCGCACACTGAGGCTTAGGATAAACTGTTGATCGCGAACCATCCTTCTTTCGTTCTGGTGCGTGTCTAAATCAATGGAAAACATTCAGATCAAGAGCTTGGAGTGGTAGTTCCAAAACTGGCACTCGGTTGTTCCCGTCTGTTTCACGGTCATGACGCTTAATCTCCGTCTCCATGTCGGGCCTTCACTCTACCTTATCACGTTTCATACTCTCACCATTTACATCAGAAGTCAGAGATGGAAGGTGGGAAGAATGATGCACCACTTGGCCGTTACGGAGTGCTGCGCTCATATACTGGAATGGGCATCACTATGCAGAGAATCCATGAACCAAACAGCCCCCTCCCATCCAGTAGGGGACTGGTGTGCAGGTGCCCGAGCTCGCCTTAATTCTAAGCTTCGTCTGCGCAACGATACTTCACTATACCAGAGCAACTGCGCGGTCTGGTTACTGCTGCTTGTCACGGATGGCAGAGCTTTACTCGGTGAGAGGGAAAATGGGGAGGGGGAGGGGAAGGGGGAGGAAACAAATGCTACATGTGCTCTGATGCACCATAAAAAAGTGAGAAGGCGCTCATGTCCTTGAGGAGGGAGGACATTCAAAACAGGGCCGATAGTGGTGAGACTAGGACTAAGCCCAGCCAAGGGGAGTAACGACAATGAGAATCTTTTCCTTCTTAGGGGTTAGTCCCAAGCACAGTAATTCGCTCACTCACTTGGATGTCCTCTTCCCCCTCCCGAGGACAGAGCGCCACGATATGTGCTCAAGCGATCTTCAGTGCTCGATTATTCCTCCCAGATATTTGTTTCGTCATGTTTGCTTTGCATGCATGATGCCTGTCTGTCATGATAGAAGCCCACATCAGACACAACCCTGCGACCGCCATCAGTGATGGAAGCAGTCAAAATGGCCCACCACCGACCCGTTTTCGTCCTAACAACAGAATTAGCAGTTATCAGCCTCCCCCACAATTCATTGTATTGTTCCTGTTAGGCTAATCGTAAGCCCACTATTCGAAAATGAAGGCTGGTTCTGTTTGTCACTCGCTGTTCGGCCAGTATCCAGGTGAAATTGGATGACAGTTATGGTGTTGGACATGTCCCACCCGACCACACCAGCGCTTTCTCGCTCCCTATGCTGCCCCTGATGATTAGCTTTTTCTACTTGAAATTGGGAAGTTGAGGCAATATTGCAGCAAATCCGCGGCGCATTCTCTGCTTACAAGATGAAATTTGCCAATCCATGGCTACTGTATATAAAACGCCAGTTTGGGTGTCTGTAGTATGTGGTGGTGTTAGTTTGGTGCGTTGGGCTTCGTGATTTAAGGCAGCGATTACGATAGATCTTGAAGGGGTTTAGAGGGGACGTGGGGGCCTAAATAGTACGCCAATTGCGAAAAAGCAAAGGAATCTTGATTCAAAATACGCAAAAATACTTATTTAAGGAAGCGATTACGATAAGGAATTTTCGCATCGGGGGAGAACCTGCGCCACACGGAGCAATTACTTGGCTGCCAAGGAAGCGATGTGTGGTCCTCCCACGGCGAAAGGTGCTGTGGTTGCTGAGCAGGACCCCGTGACGCCCCGCCCCCAGTGACGTGACGCCCACTAGTTTTGTTGATGATCTGGATGGACTGTTTGCTGTTGGCTTTTCATTTTGGATGATCATTTCCCTTCTAGCGGCTGTATCTTCCAACTTGCCCACGTATTGCCTTATCAATCAAAACACTATGCTTGTTGGCATGATGGCGGCTATCGGGGTTAACACGTCCGAACAACGTCGTTCTTTACCGTCGCTCATCCATGGTCGAAAATGAAAGGGCAATCAAAGGGGTACCATTTTGCTTATTTTCGACGGATTTCTTTGCTTTTTTCGCCATTGGCGTACTATTGAGACCCCCACCCCTCTAAACCCCTTTGAGATCTATCGTAATCGCTTCCTTTAATTGCCTTTCATTTTCGACCATGATGGGAGCGACGGTAAAGAATGACGTTTTCGGACGTGTTAACCCCGATAGCCGCCATCATGCCAACAAGCATAGTGTTTTGATTGATAAGGCATTACATGGGCAAGTTGGAAGATACAGCCGATAAAAGGGAAACGATCTCCAAAATGAAAAGCCAACAGCAAACAGCTCAGTTCATCGAGTGAAGTCATCAAGTGAACAAGTGGGCGTAACGCTTTTGGGGCAGAGTGCTTCGGAAGTCTTGGCAACCACGGCACCTTTCGCCGTGAAAGCGCCACATTCCGCATTCCGCCTTCCTTGACAGTCAACTGCTTCGTATGGCACATATACTCCCCCGATGCGGCCTTTCTTTATCGTAATCGCTTCCTTTGATGGAATTTCAGATGAACAGATTGGTCCCTAGGCAACCGCCACAACCTCTCTTCCCTGCGTGATCTTTCTTTCGCTGTGTTCCCTCCCACCTGTAGCACCAAAACTTCTTGGAGGTGATGCGAATGCACAAAACGGTGTTTTATATTTCACAGGGCATCACAGCAATCATGACATGAAGCTTTGTGACCCTCTACGCATTGTTTCTTAGCTTTGTTGAGGAATGTTGTTTCTTCCTGCTCCATCCTCCCCGCCTCCCTTTCTCCCTCCACTGCTCTCCAGCTGCCACTGCAGCACCATGTGGAATGACCGGAAGTGTGCTAAGTAGGTGTTTATATAGCCGTTGGGGGTGTTATCACAATCATGTCATTGCAAAACATTGATGGCGCAAGTCCTGCGAGCTGCCCAGATTAAGTCCTGCGATCTACCCAGATTCGTTAGCGGCCGGTTTATTCTATTAGCTGCCATCACTCACTTCATTTTGCGGACGGACAGACAGACAGACTCACACACATACACACAAAAAAAAACCGACACACAAAGGTTGTGGTTCATATAATGAAGTGGAAGTGGTAATTTCCTTAGTTTTTTAGAAGACAAAAACCAATAAGAAGAAATGACGTTGTGTGTACCCGTCAAAAAGCTGGCAAAGGTTGGATTGTAACGTTTTAAGCAGATCATTGCTTCCAATTTACTCTGAATTTGCAGGGGCACAAGAATGTTTCATGAAATCAAAGCAATCGATACTCGTTTTCCAGTTGGTTGATGTAATCTTTTCTTGTTTCGGTTAATTCTGCACGTTTCATGTCTAAATTTCCTGCCCTTGATTTGTAACATGTGTTTACCGATATCGGTACACAAATTACTTGTGCAGTTCGTCTAATAAACGTTCAGACATCATGAGTTTTAGAACTGTTGATATTTGCGAATCAAATCAAATCCATACGTCTGAGCAAGCCACTGGCCAGAACGATGTTGTGTGTGAGGGGAGGGGAAAGGGGAAGGAAGGGTAATTGCTGCAGTCATTCTGTCTGTCTTGTTCACCGTAGTTCGAAGGCATGCCCAGGATCACATTGGTGTGGCTCTTGCACACGAATGCGAATGTATTGGTGAAAGGGCCGGCAGTAAAGAAAAAAGGAAAAGAATCCGTCCAAAAAGCTCAGGCTAAGGACTCGCTCACCTTCGTAATCTGCTGTGCGTGTGTGTCCGTTTGTCACGAAATTCATAGCTCGAGTCACAGTAACGATAGCGCAGTGGTTCTTACATATGTTATAGGGGGTGGGATGGGGACACAAGTGGTACGTGATAGGAACTGATAACGACTGATAATAGCTGATAAGAGGGGCTAGAAAGCGAGCATCGCCAATTTCGTTTTGTCGTTCATATTGGTACTAGAGCGTCTATACTTACAAGTGTTTATGTGGGTGGTCCCGGGCAGGGTCAACCCTACGTTGTTACGAGTAACAACGGGGGGTCGTACTCAGTTGAGCTTGGAGGGGGGGGGTCGTACCCTCTCGGTGGCCGACAGTGGGATTCTTGGTAATATCGGATAATAGCCAGCACGTTACGTTTTCGTAAGATGACTGATACTAGCAGCATCTATAAACCACGATTCCCTCTAAATGAGCTTTCAAATGAATCAGCGAATTAGAAGGGCGCCCGAGGCGTGGCGCGCACCAAGGCAAGGGATGTAGTGCAAGCGCATGCTCGGAGCTTTCTAGCACATCCTAAATTAAACATAAAATTGGTCTTTCAAGAAGTTACGGGCAGTGAAACCTAAGAAAACTCGCGTTTTCGAGAAAATGGCTTGAAGAATACCCCCAAAATAAAAAGTAACAACGG